GTTTCGTCTTTTTTAAAATAAAAAAAATGTTATGAAGTTGAAAAACGGACATCTAGGTAATAATAGAAAATTTCAAGTATTTTCATAATAACGGGAAATATAACGAATGTTTATATAATTTTTCCTAATAAATAAATATATTTTCTAGTGGGATTAGTGGTTTCTATTTGGTATAAGATTCACAATGTCATATACATTGAATGAGGAAAAAAGGAATTTGTGTGCCCTATTTTGGTCATCTCATAAGAAAGATAGATATCTCTATGGAGAGAGGCAAGGACCTCATGTACATAGAAAGATGAGCATCTAGAGAGATAAGTAGCTTCTAGTAAGAGAAACGGTTTGCAAATCCTCACGTGGTGAAATAGTCATGTTTCTTGTAGACAAGTGGTTTTTATAGAGATTTTGGATGGTATTCTTTTTTTAGATAGTAGGTTTTTTGTTGTTCTCGCATGTTTATTTGGTGTTTTTAGTAATAGTTTTCAAAAGTAAAAAGAATGAAGAGCAACAGATACAATCGATTGGATGAGTTGTTTCAAGGGTTGTTCGATTGGGCATTGTTGATAGTTAGTAAGATATCTTTTGTATCCCACAATCTTGATGTACTCTCATCTATATAGTGGATTTTAGTTAACCATACCCATGGATATAACCGTTTGGGGGGAACCATATACTATCTTGGTATTCTTTTTGTAGATACCCACTCGAAATTCTGGTTAAGGGAACTCTTAAAAATTTCGATTCTGAGCCTAAATGATCACAAAAATCTAGTAGACCATAAGTAATATAAACCCAATATAATTGCCTCAAAACTATCCAAAACTATCCTAGCTTAAAGTATACCCCGAGAGCTTTCTAACGGTCTAAGAATCACCTAAATCCGACCTACGGATAAAAAGATTCAATAAATGACAATTTAATCCGTGTAAGACCTAAGTATCGGGCTATGGGGACGGCCGTGATATGGTCTAAAAGGCCCAAGCACAGCCTGTTGGTGCAGTAAATACTTTTTCTTTAATTAGATAAGAAAAAACTTTAAGGGCACGTTTGGTTGATATGAAAATAATTTCTTACAACATAACTAATTTCTCACGTTTGGTTTTTCACAAGAGTAAGAAATCTTTTTACCTATGAAATTAATTTCCATAAAAAGTGTCCAAAATCTAGAAATTGAAATCATACATATGTATGTATGATTCCAATTTCTTTCAAAATAATTGGGAGCAGGGGTGTAAGTAAGGCTGCCATCGAGCCAGGCAAGTCTGAGGCTTGACAAAGCCCAAATATAATTTGGCCAAGCCCCGCATGGCCCAGCCCCAAAAGTGTATCGAAAATCCCACCCCACCCCCGAATATGTACTATCAAAGCCCGACCCAGCCCAACCCGAAAATAATATATTGGGCATGGGACCAGCCCGGCCCATTAAGAAGTCCCCCCCTTTTATTTAGTTTTTTATTTCACTCTTCAAATTTATTTTGTTTGTAATAAGCCAAAAATAGTTTTTAAAAATTTAAAAAACTGTCGGGTTTCTAGAGAGAGAAAGAGATATTGAGTTCTTAGAGAGAAAAAGAGAGATTGGGATTTTAGAGAAAAAGAAATATTCGTTTCTAGAGAGATAATGAGTTTTTAAAGAGATGGGAGATTGAGTTTTTAGTGAGAGAAAGAGATTGATTTCTAGAGAGAAAATGAGCTTGGATTTCTAGAGAGATAAAGAGAGCTTGGATTTATACATAGAGAAAGAGAAATTGGGTTTTTTGAGAGAGAGGGTTTTTAGATAGAGAAAGAGAGATTGGGTTTTTAGAGAGAGAATGGGTTTCTAGAGAGAATGAGAGATTCGGTTTTTAAAGAGATAATGGGTTTAGATCTAGGTCTAAGAACCATATATCTACCAATTCCTACCAATTCCAGCAAGGAAAGGCATTCAAAAAAAAGAAACAGTGACGCAAATCAAAAGAGCGGCTTGATTCAAGCTCAAAACTCCGGGTTTGGGGTCTTTACAGGTACGTATCTTTTCTTTTTTTTGCTTAATTTAGTTTTTTCTTTTTCATTTAATTCTTTGCCTTATTATATTTTTTCTAGAAATTAATTTATTATTATATTTAATTAAATTTAGAAGTATTTTATTTAGTCAAAATATGGATTTGGATTTGGCATTACCAGTAGACTCAGAAAAAGACCAGATCTGTATAGATTTGGGATTTTTTTGAGCCTATAATTTAATTTCTCTAGCTTTTTCAAAACATAACTCAATTTTTGCTAAAATTTGAACAGATCTCATCCTAGAGATCGAAACGTAAACACTTTTTAAATTATTTCTTTCTTGCTTTATTTTTTTATTTATTGTCAGTTGTGTTTTTTCTCGCTTTTTTTATTTCTCAAAAATCAACTTGTTAGCTTTTAGAGCATTTTCATGCATAACAAGTAGTAATAGAGCCTCGTTTAGGGTTGTAGGTGTAGCAGTAAATGCTTCAAATGCAAAATTCGAGATGGAGAGATTGATGGCAAGCACAATTTTTTTTAGCAAGAATACTATAGGAATTTATTTCACAAAAGGAATAGTCCATAAAGCTGTCTCGGCGAATATTGGCATGGTGAGCACGTAATTTTGATGTCAAGGTAAAGATTGATGGATATGATGATAACCAAAATTACCTCCATAAGGAAATCTTATTTTATTGGGAGTGATATTGATATTGATATTGAAGAGTTTCCGTATTTATTGGTTGTCTTTTATTTAGGATGTGAAATCTCGGTTTTAGAAACAATATATATATAAAGGAAAACTATTCGACGTCTATAGGTGAAAATGAACAGTGATTTTGTCTACCCTCATCACCATCCAAACTTCATCGCATGGTCACAATTGTTATGTATAATTTTATTTTTCATTTTTTTTATACAAATCAAAATTACTTGAAATTTGGAGCATGTGTACATCTTCGTGAGGTACACCTAATAAAAATATGAAAAAATATTTCAAAAAATAGAAATTGATCAAAATACCGCTGAAACTTTATCGGGGTATTTTGATCAATTTGTATTTTACGAATTATTTTTTTTTATATTTTTATTAGAGCGTTTTACTGAAATGTACACACGCTGCAAATTTTAGTTCATTCGAATTAGTAAATAAAAATAAAAATTGTTTGGATGGTGATGAAAGTAGACGAAATCACTGTTCATTTTCGCCTATAGGCGTTTCGTAGTATCTTCCATATAATTAATAAATATATTTCCTAAAGAGATAAGGGTTTCTATTTGTATATATAGTGAGGGAGAAATGAATCTTTGTGCCCTATTTGGGCTACCTCATAAGAAAGGCGGACTTCCCTCTAGAGAGGCAAGGGCCTCCTACAGATAAAGGAGCAGCATTTGAAGGAGCCTCTAAAGAGAAAAGTGAACTTCTAGTATGAAATACAATTTGCACGAGCCTTGTAGGGAGAGAGATGTTTGTTTCTTGAAGAGAAACAGTTTTCATGTAGATTTTAGGTTGTTTACCCTTTGTAAAGAGTCAGTTTAGCATTGTTCTCGTATCTCTATCTCATTTGATGGTAATAGTTGTCAGAAGTAAAGAGAATAAAGAATGATAGGTGATGTCTGTGGGGGAAAGGGGGAAGTGGTTTCAAGAGTTGTTCGATTGGGTATTGTCAATGGTTAGTTCTATCCCAAAATTTATGACGTATTAGCATCTATATAGTGGATTTTACTTTACCATGCATGTGGATGTAACCCTTTAGTGTGAACCATATAAAAATTTGGTGGTCATTTTGTATTTTTTCTTTTCTACTTTATTTTTCTTACATGTTACTTATGGTGCTTTTTATCGCTATGTATTTGACAAAAATCCTCGTAAGGTGTAGAGCTCCTATGCACAACAACAGGTCAGACCCAGGTCCAATAGATATTGAACTTCACATGACCTTGACCTTGACCTGACCTAGGTCGAGTGGGATTTGGGTCAAGCTGACCTGACGCAATATATGTAATCATATATTAACTATGTATTATAACAATATATATAAGAAACCTTCATAGTTTTTTATTTCTAGACTTAGACCCGACTCGAACTAGTGCGTTATGTCTAAATCCAATTGACTTGGACGAGATCTAGGTCAGGTCCAGGCCTAATATAGAGCTTAACGAGCGTGATCAAGTCTGGATCCGGGTCGACCCGAACCCAACCTGACTCATTTACCGCCCGAGAGAGAGGGAGAGAGAGAGATATGCATCGGTATACCTGCCATCCTTTAGGGATATCAAAGCCACCAAAAGTGGTGTCCTTAAGTGCCTTTTTGAAGTTGCCAAAAACGGGTGGTGTCATCCTCATCAACTCCTGGACGACCGTCCATGTATACTTCATCTTTTGCAACTCATTCCAAGTGAGCCTCCCATCTGACCCGTCCATTTCCCTACCAATCTTCTTTTGCTCTGTCAAAACACAAGACATTAGATATCCATCTCTCTCTCACTCTATAGGGTAGGGTACTCTCTCTCTCTCTCTCTCGTAGGGTAGGGTAGGGTAGGGTATTGACCTTGAAGGATTTTGTCATGTACTTTTTCATCCCTTGCCATTTGCCTGAGCGTCAAAATCAAGACAACAGCAGTAGTATCATGACTAGCAAACATGAGCGTTACAAGATTATCTATAATCTCACTCTCACTCAAACCCTTCCCCTCTCCATCTCTAACTCCTAACATAGAGCAAACCACGTCTTCTCCCACCTCCCCACCCTCCATCTTCTCCCTCCTCCTCTGCAACAAGCCTGAGAAGAACTCTCCAATCTTAGCCCTCGCTTTTAGCCCGCGCCTAAATGTCGTCCCAGGAAAATCGATCGGGACCGTCCATGCTGCTCTAATGGCGTCCGTAAATTCTTGAACCATTGCATCCTCATCCCACTCCTCATCAGCAATCCCAAAGAGCAACGCACACGTTAGGCGAAGGGCGAGTCGTTTCATTATTGGCACGGCATGCACCGAGTCCTTGCCTTCGAACTCGCGTTCAATCTGGCTGCAAATGATGCTACTCATCGTCGGGACATGGGTTCGGAGCCCATCGGGCTTCAGTAGGCCCATAAAAGAAGACTTGACAATCTTATGTCTCTCTCCATTGAGCTCAAAGATATTGTTAGGTCCCAGTATTTGGGTTACCCCTACCGGTTGATGGCTCCCTATTGCTGCATCATTGAACATGAAACGGTTTGCAGAGGGGCCAATCAAGACGATCGTTTTTGAGCCCATTAGAGATGTCTTGAAGACGGGCCCAAACTTCGCAATCCTTTGCTCGATCCAAGCAGCCGCCTTGTCGCCCTTGTGGGCTTTCAGGAAACCGATGGACTCACCGATCAATGGTAACCCTAGATTTCCTGGAGGGAGCTTCTTCTTTCGAAATGTTTGACTGAAATTACCTCCGAAAAACATAGCCATGGCCACAAAGACCATGGCAAGGAGTGTGAAAAAAACCTCCATTGCTTTAAGCTTAGATGCTAAAGCAAATTTAGGAGATCCGGTTCACTAAAGTTTTTGAGGAAAGGAAATGATTTATAGAAATCAATGATGCGTTAAATTATGAATTTTAAAATACTATATTATTAAAATGAGTCCTATCTTAATGGGAGAAACAAGAGTGAAATGTTGTCACATGAGTCCTATCTTCTTGGGGAGAAACAATGGTAAATTCTTTGGACGATGAAGGCAAAGGCAAGAGACAAAATTATTGACAAAAGATAACTATAGCACTTAATTCTTAAATGAATTGTATACATGAGACCGTCCGATTGTATACAATGAGACCATCGGATCTGAAATATGATAGTTTGGGTGCATTACAAAGTTCAAAAAAAAAAAATTTGAAGTTTGTGCATGATCAATAAAATAAATGTAACCATCTAATTTCACATCCAATGGTAAATATTAATTGTGATCACCTTGTGTCAAGGATAAATAGTCTCATTCCACATTTTCCCATTTGTACAATATACATCACTTTTGACAATATTAATGAAAAGGAAATGTTAAGTTTCAAAAAAATAAGAAATGTCTTCAAGTACATTCTCACAAAAAAAAAAAACTCAGGCTTTCGCTTAGATATCTCTTAATTTCTTTTTTTTAGAAAATGAATCTTAAATAATTGAGGGTATTTGGATAATTTGATGATTCAATTTATTCAAGGCAAATGACCTAAATTCCTTTATGTTTTCGGGTTCAGAGATTCATACCTATTTTTTTATTAAAAAAATCATGATTCAAGTGTGGAACTTGGAACAATGATTCTTAAATCTTTTGGCTCGAGTGATTGAGATGGGCTAATTTCTAAATTATCTTAAATTGTTCTAGATTCGTAATTAGGGATAATATTTTATTTTAAAAATATGTTCGGAGTTTATAACCCAAAATAAGCAAGGGTATTTAGGTCATTGACTTAAGCGATTTAAATCAGTCAAATTATCAAATCGTAATTTTTTTACGGTAAAAAACTTAGAACAAAGTTAATTAAGATAGTTTTCAACACCCTTGAGGAAGTATCAAGATGAAATAAATTTTGAAAGGTACCCCCTTTGTTTATAAATCGTCCATGTACCCACCTCATTAATTTTTTGAAGATGTCATTCTCATGTTTTCTTCTCTCCCCCGAGAAAGTTTTCACTCGTATTTACATGCATTGCACGTGTCATCAAGTAATTTTTAGAAGGAAAAGTGATTTATTTGTTGGGAGAGACGCATAACTACATTTGCATCTCCTGAGGCTTCACACATCATGGAATTATAGTATCTCTTAAAAACAAAAGAAAAGGGTAAAATCAACAATTTAAAAAAAAATTGTAAAATTATCATTTTTAGTTTTTAAAATTTATTTATTTTTACACATTCACGATCTCTATGTTAGAGAGTATATACGCCTAAAAAATTAAATACAAAATCTATCTAAAAAATGGATCACTAAAAGGGGATGTATATCTGCATATGTGTCCTAGGACTCGTAAAAATCTGTATCCATTTTAGCATCTTCAAATCATGAATTTCATTCTTAACATCGTGTGCACTTGTCAAACGTGGCCCCAATTTCTCAAGAAATTCTGTAATTGTCACGTGGCAATTAAGGACGCCTTCCTGAGGCTGCTTCTATAGTGCACATCAATTGCCAGGAAGCTCAGCTCATGCATTGTCAAAAATAGACAATAGAGAAAAACATGTATAAAACAACACAAATTAAAATAAAAAATTAAAAAAAAAAAGGAAAAGTAAAACATTCAAAAAAGGATGTGATTTGTAAGGCTGAGGCCCTAAACAATCTAAGGCACAGCTTCAAATAGTGTCGAAAGATGTTAATTCAGTACTGAAAATTTTTGTGATAGTCTCAACATTTATTTTCATATCTAATTATAAAATCTAAAGCTTCAAAAATAGTGTAGATCGAATAAATCTATAAATACTTGATAATCTTGAAAATTGACGGTCTACAAAATGTATTACAAAATGCACTATTTTCAATAATTGAAATCCATTTTTTCTCATGTCCACACATCTTGAGATCGAGTTGATCCATTTGACGATTTTTGGGCATCAAAATAACTTCTTCTAGTGAATTTTTGGGGTGCGCCTTAATTTGATTGTTCAAGGCCTCACCCTTATATAAAACTTTTCTTTCAAGAAAACGTTGTAAAAGCTCTATCCTACCTTATAAAATATATCTCATCCTTTGATATGCAAGGTTAATATAAAAAGTATGAATAAACAAGAAAAAAATAACATTCAAAAAAATATTGTAAAAACTCTATCATACCTTATAAAATATATCTCATCGTTTTATATGCTTGGTAATATCCAAAGTATGAAGCCACCAAAGATTCAGATTCTAATGGACGGCAAAAACAATGTTGTCTGATGCCTAGTGCCTTGTCACCTTCGTTCAAACGTTAGTTTGTGAATTTTTTAAGTACAAACTCATTCTTTAACAAATATAATAAAAGATACAAAATATGCCAATATATACTCCTGCGGGAGCATATCTTCTATTCTTTTCCCTCAGATGAAACCCGTATGGTATGAAGCAAAGTTTTAGGGCTGTAACTTCCTCAACTTAGGGACCAACCTGAGGAAAAGAGAGAAAAATTTGCATACATTTTATATGTGTTTGAAAAAATAAAACAAATAATGTGTTAAGATCAGGGTTTAAAAAATCGCCGAGTCAAGCCGGACTCGCCCGGTTCGACTCGGGAATCGCTACAAGACGCACCAATTCCACACAAAAAACGGGAATCGCCTGAGAGAACCAGGCGATTCCCAATAATAGACTCGCGATTCTGTCCGAGTCCCAATAGTAGAATCGCGAGTCACCCAGAAGAACACGGGCTGCACAGTGTTCTTCACGGGTTTTTGATTTTTTTTGTCGTTTTTTTATCGATTTTCAACATTTTCAGCCTTATGAATGAATATTACAAGCTTTAATTCAAATTTCGAATCATTTTCACTCAATAAAACGAATTAAAAACCACCGTTTTTAATCAACAAATTTGGTTCGCATAGTGAGTTTTAGGGTTTCCGCCATTTCAATTATTTCAATCGAAATAAAGCTTCATTTTTTGTAAAATTTCAAGCTGAGTGATTGTAAGAGTGTTGGTCAGAATTTTGTGTTCATAATTTGTGATTATCTTGGAGGAATACATATCAATTTTGAGTTTGAAGGCACGGATGCACGAAGAACAGGTAAAAACTCAG